AGTATCTCTATGGACATAAACAAACACTGCACATTTGGTATCAACGATTCATTGATTATGTCGCTACAATGGGATTCTATGAGAACATTTCTGAACACTCATTATTTATTTACCATAATGGAAATAACATGGCTTACATTCTTCTCTTTGTAGATGAGAATATCGAAGTCTTGCAGGTGCATTAAAATACTTGACATTTACAAGACTAGATGTTTCATATTAAGTTCAAGAAGTGTTCCTCTTTATGCATTATCCAAAAATGCAACAGATGTATGCCTTAAAACGAAACATTAACTACATTTATGGTACTGTTGAATTTGGCCTCCACCTGTATTCTTCCTCCATCGACAAGCTTGTATCTTACACAGACGGTGATTGAGATGGTTGTCCTGACACAAGAAGACCTACCTTTAGGTATTGTATGTACCTTGGAGATGATTTGTTGTCTTAGTTTGCAAAACATTAACAAATCTTGTATCGATCGAGTGCAGAGGCCAAATATCGAGGAATGGCTAATGTAGTGTCTAAATCATGCAGGATTCAAAATCCAACTTTTTAACTACATTGCCTTGTTACAAATGAAACTTTTTTCTATTGTGATAATGTTAGCCCCATAAACCTTTCTGACAATCTAGTTCAACATCAACCAACCAAACACATAGAAATGGATATACACTTTGTGTGGGAAAAAGTTACTCGCGGTTAAGTGGGCATATTACATGTTCTCTCTCGTTATCAAGTTGTCGATATCTTCATGAAGTGCCTTCCACTACAACTTTTTGACGACTTTAGGAATAGTCTTAACATTCGTCCACCTCCAGTTTCGTCTACAGGGTATATTAGACTATATAAATATAGAAAGGATATTGTTAGAGTTTATTGTAAATAATTATTGAATAATTTGTTTAAGATTATTAGGAATATATATATATATATATATATATATATATATATATATATATATATATATATATATATATATATATATATATATATATATATATATATATACACTACAAGAAATGCTCAAATTTGTCAGGGGATTTAGTCAAGGGTTAAACCCTTAACAAAAAAAACATGGTTGCTAGGGGTAAAGCCCCCCGCAACATGCAAATTATAAAAAAAAAATACAAAACAAAATTGCGTGGGGTTACCCCTCACAAATAGGAAAGAGGGAAATTTTGAATTTTTAAATGTTGCATTGCAAGGGATACACTCTTGGAAAATAAAAATAGCACCAAAGTGTTGCAATTTGCGGCGGGTCTCCCCAAGCTAAATGTCAACGTGGCAATAGCGAGGGGTTACCCCACGCCAGCTAGACAACTTTAGTCTAGTCATGACAAAGTGCAGACTGCGCGTCCAATGGGCACTTTCCAAGACAGAAAATCGCGACGGGCTACCCCACGCACAGTTTGACCGTTTTGTTTCCGTGGGGAACCCCCTTGCAAAAAACCATAACCCACTCCACCGCTTCAGTTATATACTTATTGTTTAATTTTAACAAAACAGTTTTCAACTCTATATTCTTCTTATATCTCTATTTTTTCATCCTACCTCCACAACTCCATCTTCTTTCCCCAAATAAAACATAAATTTTCAATCACAACATTAACACAAACAATTTTCAGGTAAATATGTTAAATTATTTTGTTATGTGTTTAATTTATTTTTAAAGTTAGTATGTAATATAATTTTTGTTTTTCATGTACCAATTGACATATCTAAAGGGAGTCAAATTTTGGAGGAAAACTTCAAACTAAAACAACAATTTGTTCGTCAATTTCAGGTACACATTAAGAAATTTTCGTTTTTTTTTTTGTTGCATATAATATGTTAATAGAGTAGATATATTTTGTGTATATATTTGTTTTGTGATATTTGGTTTGTAAACTGAAAATAATTTTTTTTTAACTATTTTCAAAATTATTTATATATAGAATAACTGAAAAAATATATTATTTTTTTATATTTGTGATAATTGGGTTATATATTAATTTTTTTTAAAATAAACTGAAAATATAGTATATATATTTATATATTTGAAAAATAGTATATATACTTAAAAAACATAATATTGACTTCTTAAAATGAATTATATATTTTTTAAAATTAAAATAGTATGGTTTATATATAGGTCGATAATAAAAATAGTATAGGAGCTAAAACAATACTATAGTGTGATTTATATAATAATTGAAAAAATATATTATTTTATGATATTTAGTTTATATATTTGATTTTTCTAAAAAATAACTGAAAAAAATAGTATACATATCTATATATTTGAAAAACAATATATATATATATATATATATATATATATTATACTTTTAGAATATGTATGTTTCTTTTGGAATATATATAATTTTTAAAATAAAATAATTTTTATAATTTTATATATAGAATATGTATAGTTTTATTGAAATATGTATACATAGTTTCTAAAAATATATATTTTTATACAAATAGTATGTTTTTTTGAAATATATAAATACTTATATATAAAACAGTAAAAATAATTTTTTTAAATATGTATAATTTTCAAAAAAATATAAATTCTAAAAATTATATATTTTTATACAAATAGTATATTTATTACTTAAGTAAATATTTTATATATTGCTAAATGAAGTAAGAAATACAACAAAAAATGTAGAAAGAGAAACGGAGTTGCAAGAAGAAATGAAGAGGTAAACATAGAAGTATCAAAAAGCAATACGGATTACAAATAAGCATGTTCAAAGATTTGATCAATTTTTCACAAAATTTCGATGAAGGATTTGGAGGAACTAGTGAATATGAAGAAATTGTTGAAGAAGAAGAGCAAGGAGAAGAACAAGATGAACAAGAATAAAATATTTAAATTTGAAAATTTGATGTTTATTTTAATTTGTATGAAATAATTTATGTTAACTATTTTGAACCTAAGAATAAAATTTGCATGAAGTTTTATTTTAATTTTTATTATGTTTGATTGAATTTTAATTATTATATTTATTATATTAATGATATTATAATAATATAATTAATAAAATTATCATTATTGATTTTTATTCTATTAATATTAATTTTTTTTATAAATATTTTTACAATTTGTTAAAGGATAAACTTCAAGGAAAATATCACTGTTTGCATTTTGTCAAGGGTTTAATTCCTCGCGAATGGAAAAACATTTACATTTTGTCAGGGGCTTAACCCCAAACAAAAATTTTGACGCACTCAACGGTCATCTAACCTGCGCCTACGTATAAAGTCCTTCGCAAATAAATTTGTGATCTCCTGTTTTACTCGCAAATTTCATATTTATGAAAGATTTTTATCATTTGTGAGAGGTTAAATCCCTAACAAATAATATATATATATATATATATATATATATATATATATATATATATATATATATATATATATATATATGGTACCCATCAATTAAAAAGACACAACTAATATTCACGCCTCTATCACCCTCTATCATTAATGATGAATTGTGAACATTGTTCCACCGAAGCTTGCACTGAATAGCAGACTCACAACATAGATGCATGAGGAAAGAAATGAATGTATGCCTGAAGTAAGAGATAAAAGACAAGTTGAAGTTTCTCTCACTAACATTACGTTTAATAGCTAGTGAATCACAAAATAAATCTAGATTTGAAATTTCACATATAGAATCACAAGACAAGTTAATTGATATTAAAAAAGAAAATAGAAAAATAGGTTAACTGAAATGGTATATTATGATTTATTTCTTTCCCTCACCAAAATATGATTATTCTCTTAATGTCTTTATTAATTGTTACTTCAACGAGGCTAAGCAAATTGATGATTTATGACTAATGACAACTACGGATAATTTTTCTAAATGTGAATATTGTACCTATTCCAATCGCCACAATTTTTAAAAACTATATAGGAGTGTCCAATTAGGACTATTAGAAACCATCACATTTCTTGAAATTTCTAACCCTATAAGACTAATTGTAATGGGATGTTAAATAAATTTTCCAATAGTTAAATTGCTCTAATGAATTAGTGAATAAGGTGTTGAATGTGACATGGATTAATTTAGTGAAATGAATCTCAATAATTTTTTTGGAATATTTTGTGATTAAATAGATTGTTTGTGAGTTGAGTCTATTATACTAATTAAGTTATGTGTGTTTCATTTTAAGTGTGTTATGTGTTGCGTGTATTGTATTGCGTTTTAAGTTTTTGTAATTACGAATATAAAATTAGAGAAAAAAAATTTAAATAAGTTTTTAAATTAAAATAAATTATTTAACTCTTAATTATGTTAATTTAATTTCAATTGATAATTATTATTAATATATAATAAAAAAATAAAAACGTAAAAAAGAAAATAAAAATATGAAATAAAAATGGTGGGGTAAGGTGTTGAATTTTATTAAACAAAATCATTGTAGTGAGTAAAAGTTGAATATGTGCTTAATTATTAGGTGGAAGAGATAGAAGATGATGTGTGGTGTAAAAAATGAGAAAAATTAATGTTGAATAATTTTGTGATTGTAGAGAGTCTAAAAAATAATATTTTCTTATGACTAACTTTGACTAAAACTTTTTATTTAAAGAAAATATAATGTACATATAGAAAGACTAGATTATATAATTTCTTTAAAATTTTCATTTCTTTAAAATAATATATATTTTAATTTTATTCTATACATAATACTATTTCATTACTTTTATGTCAATATTCCAAATTTAACTTTTAAGAAAAAGTCAAAATTTCATAATGTATATTTAATGTATCAGATAAACTGAGTTGACACATAGTTTAACACATACAATGTATTTTCTCTTTATTAGGTAGAGTACTATGCATTTATATTTTCATTTTTTATTAATATTTCTTATATAAAAATGACTAGACTATAAATTTTAACATTTTTCTTATTAAATGTCACGAAAAGAGGATTTTTATTAAATGTCAATATAAAGAGAGTGCAAGGCTCCACAGAGAGAATCACAACAAAGTAGCAATGGGGGAATCATATTTTCTCTTGGCAATCTTAACAATTGTCATGTCTATTTCCACTGCAATATCACAATCACCTATTCAAAATTTTCTCAATTGTTTTTCAAATAATTCTCATGTATCTGAAGTCATTTACACACCAAACAACACCTCATTTTCAACCATCCTCAACAAGAGGATACATAACAAGAGATTTAAGGCAGCAACAACACCAAAACCCTTGGCAGTTATAACTCCAACTGATGCTTCTCATGTCCAAGCCACAGTTAAATGTGCCAAAAGTAACAACATTCAAATCAGAATTCGGAGCGGCGGTCATGACTATGATGGTTACTCATACGTATCAGATGTGCCTTTTGTTTTAATCGATGTATTTCGTATCAATTCGGTTGATGTCAATGTACAAGAAGAAACGGCGTGGGTTGAATCAGGTGCAACAAATGGTAAGATTTATTATAACATTGCAAAGAAAAGCAATTCTCTTGCTTTCCCAGCTGGGGTTTGTTTTTCTTTAGGTGCTGGTGGTCATTATTCTGGTGGTGGGTATGGAAATTTGATGAGAAAATATGGTCTTTCTGTTGATAATATCATTGACGCAAAAATTGTTGATGCCAACGGAAAAATCCTTGATAGAAAATCAATGGGAGAAGATCTCTTTTGGGCTATAAGGGGTGGTGGTGGTGCTAGTTTTGGTGTTATTCTTTCATGGAAAATCAAATTGGTTCATGTTCCTCCACAAGTTACTGTTTTCAAAGTGAAAAGAAAGATAGATGAAGGTGCAACTGATGTTGTTTACAAATGGCAATCAGTTGCACCAAAATTAGATAAAGATCTTTTCCTTAGAGTGCAACATGATGTTGTTCAAATTGGTAAAACGGGTAAAAAGACAGTGCAAGTTAGTTTCATTGGTCAATTTTTAGGGACAGTTGAAAGGCTTTTACCTTTGGTGAGTGACAGTTTTCCTGAACTAGGTTTGAAGAAAAGTGATTGCATTTCAATGCCTTGGGTTAATAGCACTCTTTTTTGGTATTTTGTACCAATTGGTACTCCACTTGAAGTAATGTTGGAAGAACCAAAAGATCCTGGCCAATATTATTTCAAAGGTAAATCAGATTATGTGAAGAAACCTATTCCAAAGAAAATAATAGAATCTCTATGGAAATTGATGATTGAAGGCGAAGAGATTATGTTTATGCAATGGAATCCTTATGGCGGAAGAATGGAGGAGATATTGCCATCAGACACACCATTTCCTCATAGAGGAGGAAATTTGTTCATGATTGGATATTATCATAATTGGATTAATGGATCCCTCCAAACTCATTTGAACTTTTCAAACTCAGTTCATAAATTTATGACACCCTATGTCTCAAATTCTCCAAGAGAAGCATTCCTAAACTATAGAGATGCTGATATTGCTGTCAATCATCCAAGCAATACAACGAGAATTGACATTGCTATAACTTATGGAAACAGTTATTTCAAAGAAAATTTTGAAAGATTAGTAAGTGTGAAAACGAAGGTTGATCCAGAGAATTTTTTTAGATACGAACAAAGTATACCTACTAGAATGTAGTAAAGTGACAAAATATAATGTTGACTTTCTAGAAATAGTAGAGTAAAAAACACCTTCAAAGAAATAAAAGGCGTTATAAAAATTCTTATTAAATTTATATATTTTACATATTTTATTTATTTACAATTATAAAAACTTTTATTGCATTATTTTACTTTTGTTGTTATGTTTTTTAATTCGGTTGTTTTTATGCTAAATTATTTAGTCTAAATAAGTTTTTTTCTCAAATATTTTAATAAGATAAATCATATAACCAAGTTAAAAGAAAAAGTAAAAGTATGCTGTACAAACTTTTAATTATGAAAAGACAGAAAATACGTTTTGAGGTGGTTAGAAAGGTGAAGAAATCCTGAGCAATTCATAAATATAAGATTTGGTTGCTTTGATTTGTGATTCATTCATTATTATTAAAATATTTTATATTAATTTAGAAATATTGTAAGATACTTTAAATAAATACAAAAATATTATAACATAATTTTAATAATTTAAATTAATATAAAAGATATTATAGAATATTTATATTATTTTTTTAATATAAAAAATATTATAAGATATTCATAATATTTTAAAGATTATCAAGAATTTATTGGATTTTAGAAACCTTCCGAATTTTACCACACGTAGATAAAGAGAAAGGTTATGAATCATCAGTAAGGTAGTGGTTGTAATAGCCTGGAGTTCTTGAAATTTATGAAACTTTCAAAATTTATGAAACTTTCGGAAGTATTTAAGGAATTTAGAAACACTTTTTGTTTGTATGATTCATATATTGAGAGTTTTAAAAATTTTAAAATACTTAAATAGAAAGAGTTTTATTTGTGATAACTCAATATAATAATTTGAAGAGCTTCATTTTATTTAAAATAGATCATTTGATTGAACTGAAAAAATAAGTTATTTTATTCTTGTTATTTATCTTCTTTTGCTTTATGATTTTGTTTTCACTTTTGATAAGTTATTGTGTTTCTTTAACCTATTTATTTTTATTTTCAACATTTTGATAACATGTAGGAAAAACATTTTAAAAACAGGTTTAAAAATTTGATGATCGTAGTACTAATCCTCATTATAACGATGAATTAAATGATCAATTAGTGAATGAAGATGAGTGATGGATATGATGGTTTATGTTATATTTGACATATTTTGTTTATATTTGAGGTTTATTTGTTATATTTGACGTATTTTGTTTATATTTGAGGTTTATTTGAATTTATGGTTGACTAACAATATTTTGAGAGATTAGTTGAATATGGTCGTCTATATATAGTTGAATATTATTGATGAATTAGTTAGAATTTTATGAATATACTCTTATGAATACATATTTAGTTGAATGTTTGATGGATTATACAAATACATATTTATTAGTTGAATTGTAGTCGGCATTTGTCGTTCTAAGATCATCTCCAAGCGTGAATTCATTTTTAAATTTTTTGCGGAATCTATTAAACCACGTTAGCTTAAAGCAGTTTAATTAGTTTTTTAATTCAATAGTACAATTCTAAAAAACTCATTTTGAGTTCCACAACTTTATTTTATATATTAATATTTTATTCATATTAAATTTTATATCATTTAAAATAATAATTTTAATTATTTAAATTAAAATTGATATAAAATAAATAAAAAAATCAAATTAAACTTATAATTTAAAATGATAATTAAAATTAATTTCAAATACATTGCATATAATTAAAAACAAAAAAAAAAAAATAACATTAAAATGATGTTAATAATTTTGCATGGATTGATATATAAATTATTGAAAATTATATTGATTAGATAAAATATTGTGTCAAATGAAAGCTAATTAGATAAAATTGTGAGAGAAATATTAAAAAATTGAGAGCAATTGAAATTTTAAGAAAAAATAAAATTGTGTGAAAAAATTTGAGTATAAAAAATTTGAAATGATCTCAATTATAATAAAATTAACTGTTGAAAAAAATAAACAAAAACTGAAACACAACTATTGCCATTTTTATTATTTTTCTATTCCATTCAACCTTTATATTATAATGCTACATTTGTCACCTAAGACAAGTGTAAAGTCTATTTTTTCTTGAAAACTGGTGTCCAGCTGACGAACTAAGACTATTAAAGGGTAATTTAGTATTTGCTATATTTGGAATATTCTCTCTTAGGGCCTATGTGACATTCTTATCTTTGCTATCTTTGTGTATAAATAGGTGTACTAAGTTTCATTAATATTATTCAATTCCTTATCAATCATTTGTAGCAGCTTTTTATCATTCATCATTTTCTCTCTTCCTCAATTTCATCACATTGCATCAACAAATTGGCATCTAGAGCACTTGGTTCTTCTGAATTTCTGGGAAACACGAGTGAAAGTGAGATGTGTGTTTGATTTCTGTTGAAATCTTGAACAAAATCTGAACAGAATCACACTGATTCTGTGGGTTTGGGAAACACTGAGTGAGATCTGAGATTTGAGATTTATGTTAGGTTTAAGATGAGTGGAGGTAGTAGTTTGAACACTAAATTTCCAGTATTTGATGGCAAAAGCTGGAACAGATGGATGATACAGATGCGTGTGCTGTTTGGTGCTCAAGATGTTCTGGATCTTGTTACCAATGGTTATGCTCAAGTTGCAGCAGATGCTACTGAAGAATAAAGATCTACAGAAAGAGCTACGAGGAAGAGGGATCAGAAAGCTCTGTTCTATATCCATCAGTGTATAGATGAAAGTGTGTTTGAGAAGATTGGTAATCCGACGACGTCGAAAGAGGCATGGGATATACTGGTCAGATGTTACGCTGGTGACGCGTCAGTGAAGAAGGTGAAGCTTCAGTCCCTGCGAAAGTAATATGATAATCTAAACATGAAGAACAGTGAGAAAGTTTGAGTACATCTCCAGAATGATTTTGATCACCAATGAGATGGAAGCTTGTGGAGAAACACTTTCTGAATAGGCAATCATAGAGAAGATTTTGAGGTCGCTTACTCCTCAGTTTGATTACATTGTTGTTTCTATTGAACATTCTAAAAATCTGGAAACCATGAGAATAGAAGAGTTGCAAAGCAGTCTAAAAGCACAGGAGTTGCGTCTGACTGAAAGAACTTCTGAGAGGGAAGTTGAGCAAGCTTTGAAGGCTTTTTTTGTCAAGAAGGACCAGAAGCAGAATAGACGTGGTGATAAATTCCAGAGGTCAGAAACCTCAACTTTTGATGAAAAGAAATATCATAAGGGAAAGGAAAGGTATGACAAGAAGAAGGTTCAATATTACTGTTGTAAACAGTTTGGCCATTTTGCAAGAAATTGTAGAAACATAGGAAGGAAATCAGAAGAAGCAAATATAGCCAGAGGAGATTCTGATGATGAACATGTGCTACTGATGGCTTATGATTCTGATGGAAAGTGCTCATAAGATTGGTGGTATATGGACACTGGTTGTTCAAACCACTTGATTGAGAACAAACAATGGTTGATAGACTTTGACTCCAGAAGGAGAACAAAGATCAGATGTGCTGATGATAAGTATCTTAATGCAGAAGGTATGGGAAATGTCAGAGTCAAAGTGAAGAATGGAAAAAACATTCCGATCAAAGATGTTTGGTATGTTCCTGGAATTAAAAGCAATCTGATGAGTGTGGGTCATCTCATTGAGAAAGGTTTCTCAGTTGTTATGAAGGACAACCTCTTGATGTTTTATGATTCCAATCAGAATTTGATTATGAAGTCTAAGCAGGGAAGCAACAAAACATTCAAGGTGAATGTAGAAATAGCTGAAGCACAGTGTCTTAGTGCAGAAGGTGCTGAAGGTGATAGTAAGTTGTGTCACAAGAGGTTGGGGCACTTGAATTATAGAAGCTTAGGGCATCTAAGTTCTAAGAAGCTTGTACATGGTATTTCGAAGATTGTGAAGCCTGAGAAGTCATATGATATATGCATGAAAGGCAAGCAACCCAGATTTCCATTTGCATCAGAAGTAGCCCCTAGAGCGAAGCATTCTTTGGGAGTAGTATATTCTGATATGTGTGGACCATTTCCAGTACCTTCACTTGTAGGAAACAAATATTTTGTGTCTTTTGTGGATGAGTTCACAAGAATTACATGGGTAACACTCATCAAGTTCAAGCATGAAGTGTTTACTGAGTTTTAGAAGTTCAAGGTGAAGGCTAAGAAGCAGAGTGGTCAGAGGTTGAAGATTCTGAGAACGAATGGTGGAGGTGAGTATAACTCTACAGAGTTCCAGAAGTTCTGTGAGAAGAATGGAATAGAACATGAGGTTACTGCTCCATATACTCCTCAGTACAATGGTCTTGCTGAAAGAAGAAATAGAACTTTGCTTGATATGTCCAGAAGTATGCTAAAAGAGAAGAAGCTACCTCACATGTTATGGGAAGAAGCTGTTGCCACATCAGTATATGTTCTGAATAGGTTTCCAATGAAGAAGCTGAAAGAAATTGCTCCTTTAGAAAAATGGACTGGAGACAAGAAAGGTGTTAGCCATCTGAGGTTGTTTGGTTCTGTATGTTACAAACATGTTCCAGAAGCTAGAAGACGGAAACTGGATGATAGAAGCAAGGTAATGTTACTGGTGAGGTACCATAGTACAGGTGCTTATAAGCTTTATTGTCCAGAAACTAACAAAGTTGAAATCAGCAGAGACGTTATTGTGAAAGAGTCAGAAGCATGGGATTGGAATAAGCCTCAATCAGATTCAGGTGTAGCGCCAACACCAGAGTTAGTTTCTGAAGATTCTTCAAAAAGTTCTGAAGACGAGTCAGAGTCAAAAGATGAATTTGATTCTGAAGATGAGTCAGAATCTCAGGGAGATTCTGATAGTGGATCTGATTCCGATCCAGATTCTGATGATGATCCAGAATCTGGTGGTGATTATATTTCTGGAAGGGAAAACTCTGAAGACATAGGGTCTGGAGGACAAGATTCCAGAAGTAACTATGAAGGTGGTAATTCTGAAGGAAGTAGTTATGGACAAGATCCAGAAGCTAGCATTGTTCCAAGTTCT